GCGTCCAGCAGCTCGAGGTACTGCTCGCGGAAGGACTTTTCCCACGCGAACGCCCGCACGCTCGCTAGCCCCTGCAGCAGGTCGAGGAACTGCGTGAATAGCGGCGACTTGGCCTCGAGGTCGAGCAGCCGGATCTGCCGCGACGTGCGCAGGTAAAACTTTTGCAGCACTGCACGACTGTGGTTAGTGGCGTATTTTCTCGGGGACTGGGGGCGAGAGACGGGTGGGTACGAGAGAAAAGAAAAGGGAGAAAAGGAGAAAAGAACTCACGCCAGCAAAAGAGCACAACCGGCGGCAGCAGCGCCGCGAAATACCCCGAAAACACCGTCATCAGCACGCCGCCCATGACGAGCACAAACAAATCATGTGAGAGATCAATAAGCTCAAACGGCAGCTCGGTGTCGATGATCGACATGTCCTGGCTGAAGCGGTTGGTGGTAACCCCGACATCGGTCCCAGAGAAGAAGGCCAGCGGGGCGCTGATAACCGCACGCAGCAGGCGCGCGTGCAGAACCTCGGAGCTCTGCGGCGTGAGCACAATGGCCCACACGTACAGCGCGACGACCATGCTGGCCAGCGCGACGCCCGAGACGAGCCCGTACAGCCCGAGGTAGAAGCTGTTCGTGGACGAGTCGGCGTGCGCGTGGCCCGTCCAGAAGCTGAGGAGCAGTTCCGTCATCTTGTAGCCGCCCGCGAAGAGCGAGATGGACGCGATGAAGAGCACCAGGTACCGCGCGCGCACGGTGCTGAAGTAGTACCGGTAGGTGGCGAACTCGCTTGGGGCGCGGCTGGGCAGGTCGGGCTCCCGGCTGGTGCTGTTGGGCGGCGGGCCCGCTGCTCCGTGGTCGGTCTTTGTCGGTCCGGCATCTTCGGGCGTCTTGGCAGAGCCATTACGGATAATGTTGAGGCCTTGGAGATAGTCCGTCTCGGAGCGCAGTTGCTGGAAGGAACCCTGGTGCAGAACGCACCCGTCCTCGCTCAGCGCGATGACGTGGTCTGCGTGCGCAAGAGTGTGGACTGGGGGGGGGGGCCTGTCAGTAATTACAGACACGCATGCCAGAACTTAGGGGGGGGGCAGACTTACTGGTGCTCGTGATGCAGACCACAGTAGTGCCAATCTCTCGAAACAGTCCCCCGTCAGCAAAGAGGGCCTGCTGGACGTGCTCGGCGGTCGCGGCGTCCTGCCCTGAAAAGACGTCGTCGAGAAACACAATCTGCTCCCTGGAGTAGACGGTCCTAGCCAACGCAAGGCGCTGCTGCTGGCCGCCGCTCAGCGAGACGCCGGCGCTGCCGGCCTTGGTGGCGTCCTTGCTGGGAAGGTCGCGGATGTCCTGCTCGAGCCCGCATGCGTGGACGACGCGGCCGTACCAGTCTCTATCGTAGCTAGACACGCCGAGTATATTCTTGCGGATCGTCAGGTTCTGGATCCACGGCGTCTGGCCGACGTAGGCGGCGTTGCGCGCCCCCGTGTACACGAAGCCCTTGCACGGCTGCGTCTCGCCGAGCATGGCCTTCATCAGCGTGCTCTTGCCCGCCCCCACGTTGCCGATGATGAAGGTGAAGTGCGCCTTGCGGATCGTCACGGAGATGTCTTTCAGGATGGGCGGCTCCGAACGCGTCCAGCCGAAGCTGGCGTCGGATACAACTACCAGCGGGGCCCCGGCCGGAAGTACCGGATCTCGCTGGAAGTCCTGCAGCTCGATCACGGTGCCACTCTCGTGGGGCCTGGAACTGACATCAGTTGAGACATCGCCGCTGTGGCTGTCACCCGGGAGCAAGGGCAGACGATGGTCTGCGCGGCTCTCTGACAACAGAAAGTTCTGGATACGGCCAAAGCATGCCAGTGCGGTGGTAGTCATGGGTATCGCGCGGAGAAACGTGATTATGGGGTTTGTCAAGAGGTAGACCAAAGAGAGCGAGGCGTAGGCGGTGCCGGTGTCCAGAGGCTGGCCGGTGGTCTTGGACATGATGACAAAGGTGGCAAACGTTGCCAGCGGCGCTCCGACCTGCGTGATTCCTCCTGCTCGACGTCAGCATTCGACTGCAGTCTCCGGCTGGAGGAGGCATGGGATCCAATTAATTACCAATGAGCACGCGCAGGCACAAGAGCTTGCGGTAGTCCTTGGACAGCCTCAGTTCCTTCACACGGAGACCCTGGACCATGTCGGACACCATGTCCGACAGGGCAAGCATCTTGACTTCCTGTAGCAAACAGTCAGTTTAAGAGGGCGATCAACAGCAACTCCGGCCAGCACCAACCTTCATGGAGCCAAGCACCGATGCTGTCACATCAACCCGTGTCTGGATGCTGCGGATCCACTTGCGCTGCGCCTGTCCCGTGTAGCTGGCCAGCTGCATGACAGCGACAGTCGCGCCTAGGAGGGTGTTAACCGACTTCTTAGTCGGTATCAAGCGTGTAGTTACGCACCTATTGTCACAACGATTGGGGCCACGGCGGCCGCGCCGAGGTTCTGATACAAGAGATACAAAGCCACGCCGCACTCGATGGGCGAGGCCCAGAGCTCGTGCAGCAGCGCAGAGGTCTGGCATATCGTCTCCGTGTCCGTGGACATGAGCGTCACTGCGACTGCGATTCCGTTAATTAGCGGAAGGCGCTGGGGCGCGTCGCGTTTATAGTAGGGTTCTTACTCGATTCGTCGAGGGCTGTCACGCTGAGGTCGAGGGTCTTGCAGAAGATCTGGGTGCAGAGGCTGCCCCTTACTGACGTGACAAATCTGAGTGTATGTTCAGTCTGGTGTTAATTACTAGGAATATTTGCGGCCCGGAGCAGCTTACCGATATGTCCTCTGATAATAGAAGGCGTTGGAGATCTGACGACTGTCAACACCCTTCTTTCAGTAGCCCATGATAGAGTCCAAAGCTTACCGCCCGCCCTATCAAGGCCAGAAACCATGCCCCAGTCAAGGCCCAGCCAACGGCATCAGGCTGTGACGCATCCCCACTAAACGACGTGGTTGTCTTGATGAGGAACGGCAGCGAATACTTGAAGGCGATCAGGAAGAGACGAGCCAGCACGCCAGACGAAAAGACGGATTTGTTGGCCCACACTGTGGATAAGGCGAGGCTGTGTTTCCTAGATTGGTTTGCTGGAACAGTGGTGAGTAATTTCCCAAACTAAACTAAACCAGAAGTCTTCATACCCGATGCCCACGCCTTTTGCGCTCTGGCGAGCAGCTTCCTCGCCACCATGTCCTCGTGGATCGGATACCTGAGAGTTTGTCAACAATTGGGAATAAAAACCGCGAGCGCCGAGGAGGCGGCACACACATCACATACATGTCCTGCATGGTCAAGAACCGGCCAAAGCCCGTCCTCAACAGCGGATTCAGCCACCAATACACGCCATGACTCAAAATACTGCTCGTCATCTCCGGCGAGAGGTGTTGGTACCGGTCCAGAAGAATCGAGCGCTTCCCCCACGCCTCGGCCCCAAGGACCAGCAGCTTAAGCACCACAGCGGCCGTGAACAGGCGGGCCACGACGCCCGTGTGCATGTGCAGCAGCCACAGCGTGCGGGCGATGACGGCGTCGAAGAGCAGCGTGAACAGCAGGTACACGGTGATGACGGTCGACGGGGCCAGCGCGCGCGCGTGCTCGGCGTGCGACACGACCAGCAGCAGCAGCCCGCTGACGAACACCAGCACGCCCGCCGCCGTTTGCACCGCCGTGCGCACGGGTCCCAGCGCCCAGTACAGCAGGATGCTGAGCTGTAGCGCTGTGTACAGCGCGATCAGTCCCTAGAGAGGAGGGATTTAGTAACATGGAAGAGAGACGGAAGAGTCGAGATACTCACCAGCTTGACAATGGACCGCGGGCTCTTGGCCACCTTGCGCGGCTGCTTCATGAGCCAGAACAGCCGCTGGGGCGCCAGCAGCAGGAACAGGGCCGAGGGCACAATCGACAGGACGGCGCCCTCAAAGGCGAGCGTGAAGTCGAAGCGGCCCGTCGCCGCCGGGCCAAAGTCGGCCTCTAGCAGCCACTCGGCCGAGCTGTTGGCGGCCATCATGTTGTTCATTTTGGGCAGTAGTGTGCAAAGTATAGGGGAACGTGCCAGGAATTGATGGCGAGGGGCGGTGTTTGCTTTTCACCATTTATCTAGAAACGAATTCAATCCGGGGTGTAATAAAGTCGAAGTTGGAACGCGTGTAAGCACTGGACCCAAAATCTAAGGCACGCCTACCCACCTTACGTGTAATAATACTGCACCGTCCGTCGAATCTACACGCGTGTCGCCTCTATTAATATGATCTGCAGACCCAGTCCGAGGACTTGGTTATCACATCGCACGAGAGATCAAGTCTCTTTACCTACACAGTACTTTTTTGTTGCCTTCCTTTCCCCGCACCAATTACATCATCCTCCCCCCTGTAATATGGCGGACGCATCCCCGCCACGCAAGCAAGCAACGCAGCCCTGCACGTTGCGCAGCCCTGCACGTTGTCTGTCATGTACGTAAGTTGAAAATGTCACTGGCTGGCTGCCCAATTGGGCTTAGGATGAACCTGTCAAGTCCGAGCCGCTTGCGTGGCGGAGTCTCTGACGTGATTTTTCGCCATTGGTTCGATTCGGTTCAGGGTGTTGGTTCCTTTTTGGGACTTGGGAGTCGGGGAGTCAGACCCTTTCTTCACCGCTGCTAGTTATGTTAATTTGCAACATGGATTAAATACAGCCATACATACCGTGTCGTCGGGCCGGGATTGGGGCTCGGGAACGTAAGGCTATCGTCTTACCTCCGATTCTGCGATAATAATCCTAAGTGAATTCGTTTTTCCGGACTTAAATTTTCATTTATACCTGACGCCTTTGGATGACAGCCAGCCTGCCCGTCGATGCAGACTGTTGTAATTGGTTACGTAGGTCCCAATCAACCCATCTCCTGCAGGCACACAGGCACGGAGAGAGATGGGGGCCAAAATGGTAAGACAAAACTAAAAAGAAAAAGGGACCCTTCTCCAGAGAGCCGAGCAAAAAGAAGAATCCGATCGAGCTGGGACTCGAACCCAGAACCTTTACCAACTGAGAATATCAGCCCGACCCGTGGTGAGCGGGCCAGTTCAACCGGAAAGTAACGCGCTACCATTGCGCCACCCGACCGTGTTCGACCCCATGCTGCAAGGCATGGCGGTGGATCGATGCAGGTTTGGTTGCGCAATATGCTTGATAAGGGTGGAGCAACCTGATTAGGTGTTTGTTGTGTGGAGCGCGATTCGTTAGCAAGCACTAGTTCTCGGATGACATTCTCAGATCGATCCCGTGTTCAGCTATTCGACGGCTGTGTAGTCTGTCAGTGAGAACTGAAATGGAATCTTGGGTAATTATATAAAATCTTGCATTGCTCGTGTCTGGGCTCTGGTACAAGCAACATAGCCAATTTGTTATCCAGGGAACGTGGTGACGCGTCATCGAAAGAAAACCCTAGCCAGGTCGCCCAGCTGTCTTTCAAAACAAGAGGGACAAATCGGAGAATGGAAAGAGAGAAAGGGAGAAGGAAAGGAAGTAAGGGAAGAAGGCAAAAAGGAAAAAGGGAAAAGGGAAACGAGAAAAGGGCTGTGTTAGTGGGTATGGACCAAATCGACTCCTAGAACCCGTAAATTCGTGACAAGGCCGGTGCAAATTGAGCAACCGGGCCTACCGCCTCCAAGGCCGCATCCTCAGGTGCGGTGCGGGGCGCTGTGGTCCGTGTAAATGACAGACGGCACGTTGTGGCCGTGCTGCGCTCCGACAGAGACGGGGTAGCCCGGCTGGAGGCTGCCGGGGCTGTGGGGCAGCGACCACGACGTCGTGAAGCCGGGCATGACGGGGCTCATGATCCCTTTCTCCGCGACCGGCGCGCCAAAATGCAGCCGGCTGCTGCTGGGGTCGTGCACCAGCGTGCCGGCCTTGCTGTAGACCCTCTCGCTGTAGCGCTTGCTCATTTCTGCGGTCATGTGGACGACGGCAATGTGTCAGTGTTGCGGTCTTGAGAAGATGGTCTAAGGTTTTGGTAGACTCACCGCTGGTCGTCTGGAAAAAGTTGAAAAAAATCGCCGCGGACATAAAGATGGGCACCAATTGGCCAAATGAAGTGGCGTCGTCCTCGCTGCCCTTGCCGACCTGGAGCCAGCCCGACCACTTGACCCATGACCGTAGTCCCATCAGGTACTGGGAAGTTTGGACGACGGCAGCGCCACTGATGGAAACCCCTACCACCATGTAGATAGCAAAAAGCCCCCTGAAAATATTCTTCCAAGACTCATTCGGGATGCAACAGGTCTTCAGCCGGCCCTTGCAGATCTTCGTGCCCATGCTGTACTCCTCTGGGCTGGCGCCCTCACCGTCCTCCGACAAGTCGCGCCGCAGAAAGCGCACAACATCAACAATAACGGCCACGCAGTACCATAGCAGGATGATGATGTACCAGTTCCAGCCCTGGATGTGGTTGCCGGGCGTGCTTTTAAAGAAGGTGTTATAGGCCTGCGGGGCCGACGCCGTTGACTGGCCTAGTGTCTTGGTGAGCTGCTGGAATGCGTTTTGGAAGCACGCCGCGGCTAGGAACATGTTGCTGCCGGTCTCGTCGAGCGGCGGGATCCCAGTCGGGAAAGAGCCGGTCTGGTTGTTTCCGTCGCTGTTTTGGTTGGACAGTAGCAGCCCCGTCACGATGAACACGCCCGTCATGATGAGTACGCGGATCCCACCCATCCATGGGAACCGCCAGTAGTTACGGACAACGGTAACGGCCATCAGGTGCGTCGCACACGTCAGCAGCATCATGTTGGCGATGATGTTGTAGTGGTACGCCGTAATTTGGCACCCTTCCCACTTTATTGTTCATGGATTAGCAAATCTACCTTGACTACTAGCATACTGAGGGGAAGGGTTCAGGACATACGTATCGCAGCGTGAGAGCGTAGGCGGCACCCGTGAAGATTTGCTGGTCACTGCAGCTCATGACAAGCGTCTCACATACGAGCGAGATGCTGATAGAACTGAAACATCTTCTCATGCTCTTACTAACCTTGTGTCTAGAAAATGGTCTCGCGGTTAGCTCCAAATGCCAATTAAATGTTCAGTGCTGGTCAGGCAGGGGTGAAAGCCTCACTCAAAAGACTTCCCACTTTTTAGCCCGGAAAACTTGCACAACGTCCAGAGGACATCAATAGCGCTCAGGCCGAGGGCAAAAGACGTGATTCCAATGAATACAGAGATGATCTAGACACGGTAGTCAGTAGGTGGTCCCATCCGAAATACAACGGAGAAAGCAACGCACGCCGATACCGGCAACATCTGGGTTGGGTTCAATCTGTCCCTTGTTGATACCACCCGCCGAGGGAGGGTTGGTGTCGTTGCGGTAAACACAGTTCAGTGTCTTGTTGTAGTGCGCACACACTTCAGCCGAAACGTATGCGCCCATGTTTGCTACTGTCGCGTATTTCGTTTTCCGCAGTGATGGGTGAGGTGACAGTGGAAAGAAGACACCTCCACACCGGTTACAGCTGACTTATTATAGGTTTCCGGCCTCTCTCTTGGCTCATGCGTCCTTCTACAACACGACGAGGCTCTATGTGGGGTATGTCCGTAAGAATAAAAGGGACGCAGAGCAAGTCTCAATCCGAGTTCTTGGAATTAGAACCATGGTCATTATTAGTCTGCCTTTCAGCATCCTGCAAGCGCATGTGTGTTTCGTGCTATGCAGTTTCCATAACTAGGCAGATCGTATCGCAAGGTCCTGTGGTTTTCCGTCGGGTGCTGGCGGGTGTGCGCAGACGTTCGGCAATGACTTGGACGGTGGCCAGTCGGATGGCAATGGTGACGGCCTAGTTACTGTGTTCCACGGGCATACAGAAAGCCTGTCAAGGGGTATCGCAACCTCTTTGTTCTTATTTTGGAAGAGATTTCGCTGTTTTGCGACACCTTACGCCCCCGATAAAAAGGGGCAAGCATTCACAACCCCTCGCGCAGCCTTTCGCGAGCAATCATAGCCACTTCTCGGTCAGTCCCAGGCTGAAGATGGGCAGGTCCGGTAGATTGGCGTAATTTGTGTTGCATCTTTGTGGTCCGGTTTGCCTGACTGTGCCTTATTGTACAACGTGACAGCAGATAGCAGAAAGGCAGCCTCGGCCCCTCGTCGACTTGTTCACAAGAATGTGAATGTGATTGAGTGTACATGCAACAACCAAGCCACAATCCTTAGTGCTCCGAGGGGAAGTCGACCTATTGTGCGACAAACGAACTGGGCACAGTGTAAGACGCAAAAACACACATGTGTCACATCACGTACCTTACCCATCTGCTTGCCATCACCAGCACGTCTCGGACGTACGCTTCTGGCAGGGCTCGCCGAACGGGCGGGGTTCACGGTGCACCTCGTTCCATCCTGTGGCCATGCCGGCTGCATTTCGGCCGCAACGCAAATCCTCAAAGCCTCGCACCCGTCAGCACGCCTGGCTGGGACTTGGTGATTCAGCCCAGCACGCACAGAAGCTTGGCGTGGTAGTAGGGACAGACCGGAGGGTGTATGACAGAACACCGAGGGGAACGGGTGCGTGCGTGCTAGCGGTGGATTTGAAGAGTGAACTGTTTGCCAGATGCTCGTGTTGCAGTACCTCGGGGCACGCTGGTGGCGGTGCAAAGGTTCGATGTCGAGTTGGAGGTCCTTGCCGAGATGAGCGCTCTGGGGGTCGCAAAGGGCTGGTGCGAGTGCGTGCTTTATTCTTAACAAAAGGGCTCAGTAAGTAAGTGTTCAGCTTGTAAGCCCCAGCGCAACGACAATTTCGCTCCGAACTTACCCTAACTCAGGTGTATGTTTCATCCGACCATCACACCAATTTAATCTCCATAACCTTGGCCATGTTAAACACATGCAGTGTCGCCTTTTCGAATACGCTCCCCACGCCGACGCGGCGGAACCTGCCAGCCGCCCCAAAGCCGGCGACGGGCTCGACAAAGAGCACGTCAAGAACGTCGTAGGCAAACAAGGCCGGGACGCCGCCGTAGTTCTTGCGCGTGGCGATTGCAAGCGCCAGCGTTAGCGTCAGGGTGTTTTCTCTGTCGGTTGCCGGCGACTCATGTAGCAGATCTGCGCGCTCAAACACGCCCCATCCACCAGCCGTGCCGGGCTCGTCGGTCGGCTCACTAGCCACCGGCTGGCGATGTTATTGTTGATCGTCTGGTGGGAGTCCTGGCTTGCGGAGGAGCTCATGTTGCTGGCGTCTCCTTTCTTAAGCTCCCACTCGGCGTTGTGAGTCTTACCCGCAAGGGCCTGGGCCAGTCTCGGTTGCATCAGCCCACGGAAGACGACGGGCAGGAGCTCCCCTTGACTTTGAGGATTGAGCCCTTAGCGGAAATAATGCCGCAGTTCTCCTTTACGGCGAGCGAGTGCTGCCCAAACCTGTTGACTCCTCCGTCGCCGCCGACCAATGCCCATGACCATGACGGAGCGCCACAGGAACAGGGTCTCGCGGCGGCTGTGTCGGTGGCGTGCCACAGCAGCCCGTGGTGCATGTCGGCAAGCCACAAGCCGGCCAGGTACTGCAGCGGGTTGGTAGTGGCGGTGTTGACCGTGTTGACCATGTTGCTGGCAGAAGGGTTCTTCACCTCTTTCTCTTTCTTAGAGACGATGGCTACATTGCTAAACTCGGCCGCTATCCTCGGCACTGCAGCTAGATGGTCTTTGGCTGGATACGACAGCTTCATGCGCGAGTAGATCGTGATCGGGTCATACCACGCCTGCCTCTTGTCGGCAGAGACGGAGAAGAAGCGCGACTTGAAGCCAACCCGGAATGGAACACTGGATTCGCCGTTATTGTCGTCCTCTTCGTTTTCTATGAGTTTACGGCAGATGAGACCCACGACGTCGTTGCAAATGCTCGCAGGCGGCCGGGTCCGGCACTCAAAGTAGACCTCAGAGGGTGTGTAGTGTACGATGCGCCTGCTCGAAAATCAATTCTGACACACCCAGCCCCTCGACATGAGCTCGTTGCAATCCGCCTCGGCCAGGTAGCTGACGTCGCTACGCCACGGATGCCTGTGGACGTAGATGTAACCCTTCTAGGCGCCGTCGTCGAGATACGGAAGACGCACCAGCTTCTTGAACGGTCGTTCAGGCGGGCCCGCCA